CGCTTGGCGTGCTCGGTGTAAGTGACTGAGTCACGGATGACGGACTCGAGGAAGAGCTTGAGGACACCGCGGGTCTCGTCGTAGATCAAGCCTGAAATACGCTTAACACCACCACGACGTGCGAGACGACGGATAGCAGGCTTGGTGATACCCTGGATGTTGTCACGAAGAATCTTGCGGTGACGCTTGGCGCCACCCTTGCCGAGACCCTTGCCACCCTTGCCGCGACCAGACATACTGAGAACAGGAGAACGAAAGGGTAAGGTCAGACGGAATGACCTTTGAGCAAAGCCAAGTGTGTGCGCAGCTCACTTGATGTAGTTAGAAAGTGTGAAGGAGAGAGTGATAGTGTTGTGGTGTTGCTCGATTGCGAGTTGATGCTGATGGAGATGAGAGGTGAGGACGAGTCTCGGAGCACGTTGGCTTAAGTACAAAGACGAGTAAATTTGAAAGCTGGCTTTACCTGCGCGGGGGAGGGGCCATTCGACGTACATAGAAGCTGAGCGTGTGAATGGAATTGTTGCAGCTAGTATTCCGTTCACGAATGACACGCGCTCTTTCAATTCACAATGCACACACCGGGTGTGGCGCGGCACAACACGGCGCCCGGCGCGTCTTTGCATGGCGCCGCGCACGCGTCGATCAACACATTGAATTCCCATCACACATCCGTTCACACCAAGATACCATCTGTTTCGTTCACAACGCACCAGGCGCACAGCAGTACGCAACATGCAAAATGACAAGTCGAGCAGGGTCCGCAAAGCCAGCCGATCAAAGTTGGGCAGAGCAGGTATATAGCCAGCAGCCCATGCCTCCCATCGATCCTCAACACACTCCACACATCCGCTTACAGTTCATCCCATCTGCCACTTCAGCTTGAACTCAATCAACTTCACACATTCACAACAATGGCTCGCACGAAGCAGACCGCACGCAAGTCCACTGGTGGCAAGGCCCCGCGCAAGCAGCTCGCAACCAAGGCCGCGCGCAAGAGCGCCCCATCCGCAGGTGGTGTCAAGAAGGTGTGTGAATGCATCACTTGTGCTTGCATTGTGTGTGGCATACAGCTCGCTGACTTGGGGAAAATCCTTGTAGCCTCACCGTTACAGGCCTGGTACCGTCGCTCTTCGTGAGATTCGTCGCTACCAAAAGTCGACCGAGCTCCTCATCCGCAAGCTGCCGTTCCAGCGTCTCGTCCGTGAGATTGCTCAGGATTTCAAGACCGACCTCCGTTTCCAGTCCAGCGCCGTCATGGCCCTGCAAGAGTCCGCTGAAGCATACCTCGTTTCGCTCTTCGAGGACACTAATCTCGCGGCCATCCACGCCAAACGTGTCACTATCCAGCCAAAGGACATCGCTCTTGCAAGGCGTCTGAGGGGCGAGCGCACTTAAGCAGCCGCATCTATGCTCTATTCTTTGTACTATTAGCTCTGTAACATGTTTTCCCGGTGATTGCTATATGTTTATAACCGCTGGCGTTCTGCGTGCCCGTGCTTTTTCAGACTGATGATGCCTGTTCCAGCTTTTTGTGTTTCTGATTTATCAGTGTGATCGAGGGTTGGGCTTCACACGGGGAGGCCTTTTATACACGTCTCCATGGCAAGGATACTCAAGGCAGGAATTGTGCGTATGCCAATATGGATGGCACTCATGACAGGTATCATGCATCATACATAATATGTGCAAGCGTGCATCGGATTTCAATGTGAACTCCAATGCTGTCTGGCGTCTTCTACATCCGGTCCCACAACCAATAGCAATGAGCAGGATCAGCCGTATAAAGGAGGCAGTCCGCAATATATACATAGCGCGAGCAGCTTGAGCGCTGACAGCAACCGCAGCCAGGTGTACATGTAATGAGCAAGTCATATTACTTCCACCTAGTCGTGTTTGCAGCGCGGTAAAAACGCCCACGTGGGCGTCCATCGGTCGAGGGTATGGAAACTTAAAATCATGTACCATGTTCAATGTTCAATGTGCCTGCCAGTTCCCAAAGGCTGCCAAGCCCCCACGGATGGACGCGGACGGTGTTGCCTTTCCGCGCGAGATCTCCACGCGTCTGCCACAGACGCGTGCACTCCACCTGCATTCACCCACAAAACACGCACTCACACTGGCTTTCTTTGGCGGCTTTTGCTTGTTGGTAATCCGCTCACGTGCTCACTCACGTCAGCATACCACCTCAGCAAGCCAAGGGCAGAACAACGACATGCGAGCAAACAGACTGCAGAGACGAACGAGGACAGACGCTGAGGAGCGCGATGAGTGATGGAAGTTGCAACAGGCTGTAACGATGCGATCTCCATAGTGAATAGCCCATGCCCAATTGCCAACGGCACGTCGCCGTACGTGTATTGTGCACTCGCCAGGCCTCCACTGCTTGATGACACGTATGAAGCAACCTGTTGTCCCACTGACAGTTTGACAACATCGTCCTATAAATATGTATTTTCTAGTGCTCCCATGGGCTGGAGCTAGTTTCAGATATGATCGACCCACAAGGGCATTAACAAAACACACTATCCATGCCAACACGACTGATATAAAGAATCAAGCAGCTGTTGTTACAATACTAGTACTACACAGTGTGAAGATGCGAAAGCAGAAACATCTTAAAGGTCCTGGGAGGCCTTCTTGGACTTGCCAGACTTGGCCGGCAGAAGCTCCGAGTTGATGAATGGCAGAACACCACCTTGGCTAATGGTAACGCCACCAAGCAGCTTGTTTAGCTCCTCATCGTTGCGGATGGCGAGCTGCAAGTGACGGGGGATAATCTAAAACGAACATATAGGGAATGCACATAAGTATTAATGCATGAGAGGACAAGGCGGCATCAAAACTCACCCTTGACTTCTTGTTATCACGGGCGGCGTTGCCAGCGAGCTCAAGAATCTCAGCTGCGAGATACTCGAGGACGGCGGCGAGGTAGACTGGGGCACCGGCACCGACACGCTGTGCGTAGTTGCCCTTGCGGAGGAGACGGTGGATACGACCGACTGGGAACTGGAGACCGGCCTTTGCCGAACGCGAGGTAGACTTGCTGGACGAGTCACCGGCCTTGCCACCTTTGCCACCAGACATGATTGCAAATATGTGAGAATGTGAGGGGGTGGGCGTGGGTTGATTGTATGAGGTGCGACTTGCGAATATTCGTGGTTGGAACTGGGAAGAGCAAGGGCGTTCAGTTGGCGATGGACGCGCGCGTCTATATACGGGGAGCCGTGGCGGAGCGCGTTAGGGCGGCAGGACTCCCTCGCGGCTCTCCTGGAGTGGGCGCCAGAAGTTTTGGCACGTCGCTGAAATGATTTTGGCGACGTGGAAGAAAATGTTGGACGCGCGCGGAGCCCGGCGGGACTCCCACCCTACCGACGCGTCCCACTAACCATCGCCAGTGTATATAGACCGCGCCTCCTCGCGTTCCAGATCCCCACCCCATCCGCCTACCAAAGCAACTCTGTTCATCAGCTTCAACACATTTCTCATTCACTTACACACTCGACCACTTCCTCATCTTCAATATGCCACCCAAGTCTACCACCGGAGGCAAGGCCCCTTCCAGCCAGGCCGGCAAGGCACCTGCCTCGGCCACCAAAACCACTGAAGCCGCCAAGAAGACCAGCAAGACCACTGGCAAGGACGCTGCGAAGAAGCGCAGCAACAAGGCACGCAAGGAGACTTACAGTGAGCACTTGTCGCGTTGATACATCGATGTAAACATATATTGATTTATTCTCGCTATCTTGACGTGTTTCAGGCACTTACATCTACCGTGTCCTCAAGCAAGTGCACCCGGACACTGGTATCTCCAACAAGGCAATGGCAATTCTCAACTCATTTGTCGGTGACATCTTTGAGCGCATTGCAAGTGAGGCTTCCAAGCTCGCTTCGTACAACAAGAAGAGCACCATCAGCTCGCGCGAGATCCAGACTGCCGTCCGTCTGATCCTGCCCGGTGAATTGTCTAAGCACGCTATCAGCGAAGGCACTAAGTCAGTCACCAAGTTCTCGTCGTCCAAGTGATTGGACGGTCTGCATCTGCGCATCTTCTGTAATTTTACTCTTGTAACCATACGATGTCAAGTTATTCAGTATGTAATCTGCTTGTGTTTGTTTGTACGTTTGGGCGTTTGAGTATACGGTCACAGTGTCTTTTTCATCCCTGGCGGCATGGAAAACACCGAACTGCCGTCTTGGGTCATGGCAGGTGATACCTTTATGTGTTCTCATGCTTAGGCGCGCTATCTGCTCACAGCTGCTCCAGTCTCTCGGCATGCCATTCATGCTGATGCGCACAACAGTCGACCATTCATTTGGAGCCGACTTGCAGAGCATGTGGTTGTGCATGCAGATCATCACAGGGACACTGTAGACTGGTACGCAGCGCACTAGACTTTGCTTCAGGCTCGAGAGACGATACAGTAACTTGTACAGGCTCTTTAGAGTGTAGTGCGTCCCAATGATACTCATTACCTCCGTCGCACTTGTGCAGTATGTCTTGCGTCAGCGCTACACGTTGTGCTCGCCCGAGCCGTCGTTGCTCTCATTGAGATCTGAGTGCTGAGCGCTGAGAGTGGGTGTGCACTGCGCACCTTGAGTGTGGATGTAATATGTAGCCTGTGTGAATTGTGATCTATACCATGCCACAAGTGCGAGCCAAACCAGCTCTGATCTTTGTGGAGTTTTTGAATACGGGTGCATGTATCGGACAAGCAGATGGGGAGGTAGGGTGGGTTGTCGAGAATTAGTATCAATTTGTCGACAGTTCCGTGTCATACTGCAGATTGTGGTCAACCCTACTTTCCAAGGCCCTGCTGTTTGCTGCTGTACCCCCACGCCCAGCGTGGCTTTCGCGCCCGCAGGTTTCCCCACGCTCTCCCTCGTGTCTGGTCTCTCCCGTCGGTCCGCACAAAGACAAGAAATATCAACCACGCCACCCCGAAGCCCTCTCAAAGCTGCCTGCCTCTCTTTCCATTACTTATGACTTCTGTGTCTGCGCTGCGACGGCTTTCTATTTATGGTTAGATACTCCATCGTTTAGTCCCAGCCATCCTCTCCTTCTTTCCAGCGCCAGCATACCGCTTCCGACAAAGGCACGGCTCGCAAGATGGAGCGACAGCTCGGCAGGTCGCTGTTGCGACTTCACAGCGCCCGCACTCGAGCGTCCTTGGCTAACTGGCCTGCTCTCGAGCGGACAGCACTGCGGCAGGTCTCTCAACGACACGAAAGCAGCCCTTCGGTAAATTCGGAGCGGCACAGCCGCTCCGAATGGATCGGTGTCGCAGCGGGTGTCGTAGGACTGACATTGGTGCGAGATTAGAAGGGACGAGTAGCATACATTCGCAAGGGCCTTTCGCTGACTGCCTTGCACCGTAGCTTGGGTCCGCTTTGAACATCACATCTGCAAGTAATGAGCCTCGAAATCAGCCGCCGACGGAAGACAAGTCGCTCGCTACGGACGAGCTCACAAAGTCGATGATCAGTATGGACGAAGTGGCAAAACACAGCACACCTGAGCAGGGCCTCTGGGTCGTCATTGGTGGGAACGTCTACGAGTACGTTTAACCTGAAGTGGCAGCCTGGAGCCACTGCCTTTGTACCATTCTAAAATTTCCTGCTGATTCTCCAATCCAGCGTAACCGACTTCATCGACAAACATCCCGGTGGGCGAAATGTCATCCTAAAAAATGCAGGCAAGGATGTAACGGCAATTTACGAGCCAGTGCACCCACCCACCGCGATCGATGACAACTTGACGGATTCGCAAAAGCTCGGTCTGGTGGACCCCAAGACGGTCAAAGTCGAGCAAAAGGAGTTGACGGACGCGGAAAAGAGGCGGAAGGAGGCGCTGGCTAACTTGCCGGCCGTCGGCACCGTCCTAAGCCTCGATGATTTCGAGCGCATAGCCAAGGATCTGCTCACTGAGCAGGCATGGGCCTACTATTCATCAGCAGGTGACGATGAGATCAGTGAGTCGAGCGCGATGTTCTGCCCCTGAAATTAGTAGCCGCTGATAGGAGTGACTCTGGTACTGCGATTGCAGCGTACTACAACAACCGCCAAGCCTTCAGCCGCATCTGGTTTCGTCCACGCGTATTGCGAAAAGTGGGCGAGGTTGATACCTCTACACGGATCCTCGCCAACACAGAAGGTGCGAGCAAGAGCAAGGCGATCAACGTCACCTTGCCCATCTACATCTCTCCTGCCGCCATGGCCAAGCTCGGGCACCCGGATGGCGAGCTCAACTTGACTCGCGCAGCTGGGGCAAACGGCATCATGCAAGGCATCTCCGCCAATGCGTCTGTCGGCCTCGACGAGATGCTTGACGCGCGTCAACCAGGCCAGCCAGTCTTCTACCAGCTCTACGTCAATCGTGACCGCGCCGCTTCGGAGCGCATTTTGCACAAAATCGAGGAGAAGGGCGTCAATGCCGTCTTCCTCACCGTGGATGCGCCTGTCATGGGTAAGCGCGAGAAGGACATGCGCGCTAAAGGCGAGGCAGTCGAAACGGGCGGCGGCGTTTGCGACAAAGCAGGAGAAGGGTTAGGTGTCGCAGCTGCCATCAGCGGGTACATTGACCCGAACGTTGTGCGTACCGTACCCGCATTTCCACAGAACGAGACTCGACCATAACCAGATCCTTGCTAAGTCTTTTTTCCTCTCCCCAGTGCTGGGAAGACATTGCATGGTACCGCAAAACGTGCAAGCTGCCACTCTACCTCAAAGGTATCCAGTGCGTCGAAGACGCTGAGCTCGCCGCAGCGCACGGAGTAGATGGCATCGTCCTCAGCAATCACGGCGGGCGCTCGCTGGAGTTCAGCCCAGCGCCCATCGATGTGCTGATCGAGCTACAGCAGCGCAAGCCCGAGCTGTTCAACAAGCTCGAGGTCTTTGTCGATGGGGGCATCCGGCGCGGGACGGACGTGCTCAAGGCACGCGCGCTGGGTGCCAAAGCTGTCGGTCTCGGTCGGCCGTTCCTGTACGCGCAGAGCGGGTTTGGCGAGGCGGGCGCGTCAAGGGCGATACAGATCATGGTTGATGAGGTGCAGCGTGGCATGCGTTTATTGGGGGTCACATCGCTGGATCAGCTTACGCCAGACATGATCGACATTCTCCCACGCACATACCACCCGCCGCCTCGTCCAGCCGAGCCGCATGCTGAGCTATAAGTGCCGCGACTATATTTGTGTAGCCATATCGGTTCTATTGGCTTTGTGACAGTTAGCACTTCCATGTATGCGGGTTGTAATGAATAGCACAGGCTTGAATACACGCTGCTTCCTCGCATCTAATAAGACCCTCGCATCCTCGCGTCGCCATCCGCATCAATCCGAAACCCACTCCCAGCCCTGCTGCCGCGACCACTGCCGCCATCATCAGCGAAGCCTGGTGACATAGCTCCTCCAGGCCCTCCGGCGATAGCGGGTGAGTGTATGTTGCTGATCGGCGTGCCCGCATCCGAGCGATCAGGGATGCATGAGGAATGCAGTATCCTCGATCCGCCACCTGAGGCGCCGACGACCTTGCTGCCCAGACTTGACACGCTACTGTTCAGGCTGGGCGAGCTCGCGCTCGCGGCCTGCTGCCCCGAGCCGTACAGCAGTAGCTGGTCTGCATAGCGCTGCATCTCATCGAGTGGAATAACCAACTTGAAGTCATTGAGCAGCAGGAACTGCAGCTCCAGCTGATTGAGCTCATGCACGGGCAACCCACCGACCTGTGTGAGCGAAGGCGACGGCAACAATAGGTCAATTTCAGAACACAGGACAGCAGAATCGCAGAGCTAACTCGCTCACCTTAGCATACCGCGAGTTGGTGTAGAACACATCGCTGAAGAACTTGCTCGCGACAGTCACGCCGGCGATGACGAGTCGGTGAACATTGAAGCTGTCAATGGCGAATCCGCGCATGCCTGGGTGCGGCTCGCTTGACGGCTGATCAGCGCCATGGGGTACGCTGGCATCTCTGAACCCGCTCGCGACGGAGGATGTCGTGTTAGTGCTGGCAGACCGACGCATCTCCTCTGAGCCTCCCCCCTGTTGCTGCTGTTGTTGCCGCTCAGAGCTGTTGTTGCCTTCGAACGCGTCGAGCGTGCTGTGCGGCTGTCCAGCAGCTGCTCCGGACGGCGCGCTGCCCGCATCGGCACCGAGGCCCATGCGACTCATACGGTCAAAGTAGACGAGCAGGCTGAGGAAGACTTCGTTGGTCGTCGGGCAGTACTTGAGGATGCGCAGGAGGTAGCTCTCGATGCTGATGCTCGGTACGTTGCGCGCGTGGAAACAAAGCGTGCTGCTTGGCGTTCCCAGGGCACCGAGGGCAGCAGACGTGATACGTAGTCGACCGGAGCCGGGAGAGTACGGCTCTGGATCGCCGTAGTACGACCGTCGGCCCGTATGCGTCTTTCGTACCTCCATCGAGCTGGACCCACATCGAGGGCTGACATACGTATCTCGATGGGGTGAGTTGTCACCCGGCGCTGCATGCTGTCCTGCTTGGTCTTGCGTTCGCTCGCCGTAGCCGTCCGATGTGTCCCCTCCGCCATGGCCGGTAGAGGTGGACGATGCGTGTTGCACACGCTCCTTCTCTCCTTCACGATTGCGACTGCTCCCGGTCATCTTGGTGCTGCATCTGCGACTGTCATCGTCATCGCTGCCGGGCCCGCTGCCTGAGCCTCCCGTCTCCTTGCGCGAGCCTCCTTTTGCACCGCTACCACCACCGCTGCCTCCAGACACGCTCCTACTTCCACCACTCGGCCGCAGCTGGTCGTTCGCCATCGCGATCTGTTGCAACAGCGCCGCGAGCACACGCAGCAGGTCTTGCGGTGGATACGTCGCGAGGTCGAGGTGAGGTGGTGACGGTGGCCGCGGTGGCGAGCTGGCCTCCCGACCGGTGTCTCGGTCGCCGATGAGCGACTGCATCTGCGCAGGCGAGAGCTCAGGCGGACAGCCTGCGCCTGAGTCTGCCGCGGCGGATTGCTGTTGTTGCTGAGGAGGAGCGTTGTTGCCGGGCGAGTGGCCGTGCGCCAATGAGCTCTGCGGCGAGCGATACGAGGATGCACGGCCGCTTGAAGAGATGTTGGACTGTAAATGATCGCTAACGATAGCAGCACCAGCACTAGCATTCGAGTTGCTCCTCGAGTCATATTCCCTTGCAGAGACGGACGAGTGGCCGCCACAGTTGTCTACGACACTGCGCACATCACTGTTCCTGGCACTGTCACGTTTAGCCGAGACGGAAGGAAGTGTATGCGAGCAAGACGCCGCGCCAGCGAGTGCGGTTGAATCGGCAGCTGATCGCTGTGGCACGATGGTGTTCATACTGCTGCTGCTCGCAGAAGAGGATGAGTGGTATTTAGTGTTGCTGTTGTGGCTGCTATTCGATGTCGCGATGTACTGGTCCTGCTGCCCACGAGCCTTGTTCCAATGGCGATCATCGTCCTGGGAGCTGGAGCTGGAGCTGCCCAGCATTCCAGAGGTAGAGGTAGAGTTAACTGTGTTCGAGCCAGAGCTAGCTCCTGGGCCAGAGCCAGAGCCAGAACCATACGCAGACCCGTACGCCGTCGCACCAGAGCCAGAAGGAGCCGCCGACATCACCTGCTGGCCCGGGCCAGACGAGGTGTACGCGCTGCTGCCACGGGTGCCCGACTGCTGCTTCGCGGCATCCGCTGCGCCCGAATACGACGAGCTCGAAGCTGCAGCGGACGACTGATTGCGGAAGAAAGGTGGCGAGGAGTAGTTGCTGCTGCTGCTAGCGCTGCTGCTCCTCGTCCTGCTACTGTTGCTGTTGCTGTTGCTGTTGCTGTAGCTTTTGCTATTGCTGGAATTTCGCGCGCTAGCAATCCCAGCTTCGGGACTGCCTCCTCCTCCTCCGGTGTTGTCTCTGCTGCGACCGCCGTTGCCGAACTCCAGAGAAGAGGACTGCTCAGTGTGCGAAGTTGTGTCTGCCATCTTCCCACTACTATTGTTGGGGTTGCGGCTGTAAGCTGCAGCTGTCTCTTGCTTCTTGCCAAATATTCCGCCGTGGCTGAGCTGGTGGAGGTCGTGATAACTGCTATCGCCAGGTGACATGGTCTGCGGGCTGCTCATGCTCGTGGAGGAGCTGATGCTTCCTCCAGTTCCTCTGCCACCACCACCACCTTCGACACTGCTTCTGCTGCTTCCGCCGGCGCTGCTCGTGGAGAATCCAGCAGAGCTGCGGTCACCGTCGTGCAGGCTGGCACTGGTGGATGTCGAACGGGACTGCAAACCGGCTTGCTCGTGGTGCGAGATGGAAGCAGAAGAATGCCACGACGACGGTTCGGTGCTGTGGTTGCTGCTGCCGCTGCCGTCAATCGGTGAGGAGAGCACGGAATTGCCGGCGTTGTAGCCTAGCTTCGAAGAAGAGGCTGGGAACAAGTCAGGCTCCAAGCTTTTGTTTGAGCCTGCTCCACTGTGACCTATGCCAGAACCGAATCCGGGTCCAGAGCCGAAGCCGGAGCCGGACTGAGGGGTCGAGCCAGAGGATGATGGGTTGTCGGGGTTGATGTTACTGCTCAACGAGCCGGGATGATGTAATGAGGAGGATATCCCTATAGCTGCTGTGGACGGTGCGGACGAGGAAGAGTTTGCGAAGAGCATGCTTTGCCTGTCGCCTTGCGCACTTGATGGAGAAAGGAAGACTCGTGGCTTGATATGCCGGCTTGATGCCTGCCTTCAGATGATTGATACCGACGTCCCGGTCGTCAGCATTCGTTTTCAGATGGCTGAATTTGTGTTTCGCCGTTGTAGAGAGAGAAAGATGACGATTGCAGCTCGAAAGGAAGCTGACAAAGGATGTGAGTCGTGCAAGTATGAATGCGAGCTGGATGGATGAAGACGTAGAGAGCACCGCGACGCTCGTGGAAGAACAGCTTGCTAGTCGCTAGCACCTGAGGCAGCCGTTGTCAATGACATGCGCTTGGACACAGGCTGATGCTTGGATCTCTTTTGCTGCTGCAAGCCAGATGTGCGATGACGAACTTGCCTCTGAAATGAGCAGAGTGAGGGCGGACGCTGTCAGCAGCTCGTCAAACAGGCGCTGCCAGCACCAAGCCGTGTTACAACTGGGTGTCGTTGCTTTCTGTTTGTGCGGCTTTGAGCGCCTCACCGGGTCGCGGACGCAACAGCGGATAGGACGGAGGGATGACGAACCGGTTGACCCACCTTGTGAAACTTTTCTGGCCGACGCTCGCCCTCCTTTTGTGGACACACACGCCTCCTGGCGCAGCTTTACGATGGGGGCAGGCTGCTACTTGTTGGAGCACGACGCGCGCAGGCGAATCAGCATGTCCGATCCATGCAGCTGACACACACGCACTCGACTCTGCTGCAGTCTGCACGCCTCTTCACCGCCTCGCTACTAACATGGAGAAGAGTATGTACCCAGCGCAAAGCCAGCTGTAATGGGAGGATCAAAATATATTTTAGCTGCTCGAGGATCCCACTCACAGACAGCCTGCCTTCCGAGTACGAGCGCAAGCCCAAACTCACTTTCAAGACTACTTGCCAAGCTAATAGACCAGCCAGGCGCCTGGCACCAGAGGAGGCAGGCGGCGCGTGCGCACGTTCCACCCACAACCTTTTCCGAATTCCGCCCCTGCCGCACAGTAGGGTGCGACCAGAATCCACACTGTAGGGCTGTGTGCTCTGGCTGCCACAATGGTAGAAACCAAGAAAGGGTCCAACCATGTTGCGACAGAGGCAACTCATACGCACCTGATCGATCCCCCAATTCACCAAGGACTTCGCGGCTTGCTGGACTGCGCCGACCGCAGCCCAGTCGCAATGCATCTACTCGGGCTGCTTGCATCATTTTCATACACATGAGCCTGGGACGTTTTGAGTAGACCGAGGCTCTGTGCAAACGTCTTTCACGCGGCGGTCGGTCGCCTTTGGCAATCCATGGTCCCACTCGGTGGACCTGTTCTGGATGCGCAGGTCACGCTTCTCGTCGGGCTGGTGCCGAACGACTCGAGCAGGGGTGGGGCGCGGGATTGGAAGCAGAGCACAGAGACCCGGCAAGAACTTTGCTTTTTTGCTCTCCTTGTGTTTTTGGACCATACAGAGTGAAGCAAGCACAGTGATTTAAGCAACCGGCAGCTAAATGGCAGTATCATACAGATTGGAATACATGGTCAGGCTCAACGCGATCTGGATCACCGAGGGCTCAGCGCAGAGAGCTGCATCGTCCAGGGGCTCATGCGGAAGAAAAACAGGTCAACGTGCTGACGGGCTCGCTGGCGCTGTTGTATTACATCACAATTTCTATGATACCAAGCGGCAAGCCAATGAAGATTACCCATCGTCGTTCGTGTGCTGCAATTGTCCATCAGAGAAATGATGCTGGAGAAATAGCAGATGGTACAGTAGGGGAATGCTTCCTGACACAATGTATGCGAAATGTTCCTTGGGATGTTGGCATGAACGTGAAAGTCCATGCAATTGGGGGCAGATCGTCGGGAGAGGGGATGCAGAAATGCCAAGGCTTAATAGCCGTTGTACTGGCTCGTGTCGACCCATGGAGAAGGTACTGCTTGTCCATGTCGAGGTGGAACGGGAGGTGGGGCATTCGGATTGGGTATATGATCGTATCCGTAGTTCTCGTATCCAGACCCACTATAAGCCTGCCTTTGCCGCTGAACCTGCCCATAACTTGTCGGTGCCGCTGACGGAGGCGGAGGGGGTGGCATGTTGGGCGCATGGTACTGTCGTGACTGCCGCAGCGCATCATTAGCGTGTGCTGATGAAGAGCGCGAATGTCTCTGGTTCTGATGCTGCTGTGCATCGCGGCTCCGCCACGCAGTAGACGGCACCGCCCGGCTATCGGCGTACGAGCCTCCTCGGCGCCTGCATGCGCGCACAATGCATGCAAGGATCAAGAGGACGAGAATGGCGGCGCCGATCGTGACAGGGATGGAGATGCGCAGATTGTTCGTGTACCAGCTGCGGAACGTCGACTGCCAATCGCCACGGACGCATTCGCCGCTGCGGCAGCGCCCGCCGTAGCCGCACGATGTGCCGTCGATGAACGTCTGCTGCAAGACGAGGCAGCTGTTGCCTCCGCGCGGGTCGAGACAGGCGATGCTGCACGTACCACTCGTGCTGACAGGGCAGGCCTGCGTCAAGTTGAGACTCGTGCCCTGCTGCTGACATTGCTGGTCGCGCGACGTGCAGTGCCCAGACGCGCACATCAAGCCGTCGCTTCCGCACTCCTTGCCGTCGGGCTTGGTCACGTCCGCCGGGCATTCCGCCGACGTGCCGCTGCACATTTCGGCAGAGTCGCAGCGGTCGTCGATCGAAGGCCGGCACACTTTCGTCGATGGCGCATACTGGCATGAATCCGTGCAACACGCGCTGGCGAGCGGATCGCACCGCGAGCCGCTGGTCAGCTTGCATGTGGTCGAGCAGCACTGGCTGCCCCTCGGTCCTGCATCGCACTCTTCTCCCGGCTCTAGAATCCCATTGCCGCATTGCTGCGCACTCAACGTTGCGCGCTCGCCGGGCGCAACAATACAATCAGACCCCAGCCCACCGCCGAGCAAGGAACAGACGTTGCCAATCGTGCAAGCGCTAAAGGTCTGCGCGCTGGGCGAGCTGACTGGGTTCATGACGTAGTCGGTCGAGCCGTAGCACGCAGACGACGAGGATGGGCAGCATGTAGCGCCATAGCTTTGCACAGCCAGGCTTCCCCGCAGCGAGCAGCCGCTCGAGCAATCATGGATCGCTCCAAAGTTGTGCCCTGTGCATGCAGAATGAAAAGTTGTCAGTGTTTTGAGACCTCATTTTATTTGGAGTCGATAGCCTTTGGAAAACGCACCTATCTCGTGTGCGATGACTTCCCACATGCTGTTCGTCAGAGAGCTCACACCCGTGCCGCTGACAGTCTGTTGTTCTTCCTGGCTCGCCTGAGTCATGCACAGCGTCCCAAGCCAAGCGATGCCAATTTCGCCACCAGCTTGCCCGCTGCCGCACGCGGTCATGAGGTGCCACAAGCCGGTTCCGTTCGTGGATCTAGAGCCTCTCCAGGCGCTAAAGTCACTCAACCGATTGTCCAGACTGTAGCTGCTGCTGCAATCTCTGTTCCACATCGCCGAGCTCGAAGGGCTAGTCGGACACGCAGCCGATTGTACATTGAGCTCGACGACACCAATGCTGACATTGTACGTTTGCCTGTACAGGTTGCTGACCGTATTAAGATTCTCGAGCATCGCGGTTCGGACGTCGGACTCGTTGCTGAAGCGGGTCGAGTACGTACAGTCAGCTGCTGCGCCGATATACACCACACGCGCCGCATTTGGACAGCCTTGGCGGGAACCGATCGTGCTGATATAAGACGAGTTGCTGCCTGGACCAGCAGTGTCGCTGCCGGTTGCTTGGCGACGTTGAAGTATATGCTGCCAGGCATTGTAGTCGAACGACAATTCTCTTGAAGTCGGCAAGCCGTGGTGCAAGGTGGTCCCACTTTGCATATCTGCGGAAGGTGCCTCGGAAAGCGCGAGGAGAGAACCGAAGCCGGGGAATCTTTCTCCGAGGCTGCGCCTGCGCATGCCAACAGACAAGCCAGATGGCGTCTCAAAAAAGGTCTCGCCATGGAGGATATCGCCGTTCTGGAATTTGAGGTTGTGCGCTAGCTTGTCCGAGTTGCATCCAGTTGAAAGTGTACCTTCTCCGGCCCGCTCCTCTACAGGAGCGAGACCACGCGCGCGCATCTCGCTCTCGCTCATCCTATCTGAGCGACGATGTACAACAAGGCCAGTGCTCACATGTCCATCCAATCCACGCTTCTCAAGCCGAGGGTCGCTTGCCTGCCGCGAGGCTTCGTATCGGTCCTTGGTCTGGATGGTGTGCATGTTTCCAGTCCAGCTGAACATCCCTTCGAAGCTGGGTTGACGTCCATTCAGGGTCCCGTCGTCGTGCAGCAAAATCGACGCGTGCCCCATGATGCCGTCCGCGAAGTCACGACCGACATCCTGACCTGACCCTTCGCCGGATCGCCGCCACAGCCCTGCTTCATCTTCCGCCCTTCGGCGGTTCGAGAATGCAGGGTGCAGAACGACGCCACGGTACGCTCTAACCTCTTCACGCGAAAGCCATTCAGTTCGCTCGCCTGAATACCGCACAGTGATGCCGTCTGGATGGACGAGCTCGTCATTCGGCTCCAGATGAAGCTTGAAGGTTTGGTTAAAGGCGCGCAGAGTAAGAACGAACGAGTCGCTATGGCGGATCGTACGTCGGGAAAGCCCGCCGAACGCTTCGTATCTGCGCTCTACTGGTGGAGCCGTCGGATTGAGCGGTTCGATGGATATTGAATCTGCAAGATCAATTTGCTGCAAAGGCGATGACAACGTGCTCGATGCTGTCGTTGACCGAGACGTGCGCTTTAGCTCGTCACATTCGCATGAATTGTTTCCTTTGCCACCGTGCACTTACCTAGTACATGGTGAAAGGGCAGCAGGACGATGGACAGGAGGGCCGCAGCCAACGTCCGTGAGAGGGTGACTCGCATTCTCTTTGCACGAAATGGTGCAGAAGGTGAGCTTCAAGTGGGACTGTCAGCTGTTGAGGGAGCGTTGAAGAGGATGGATGGACGATCGACAGGAGGTCGAGATTGTTGGCTGTCCAGGTGGACTTTGTATGCAATGCACTTGAAATATTGCAGGCAGATTGGGTCGTTCGGTGCCAGTGACGCACAGCTTTCAATTCTGAGCTCAAGGCTCAGCGTGTGCCCGATGGACGTCCCCTTTGCATATAAGCTGGTAAAGAGAGCACTGCCCTTCTTGTAAGTGGGCCAATCCATGCGGTTGCTGCTCCAGTGGTGAAACAACCTTTGATTATTCTCCCCGGATATGTACTCTATTGACTGAACCGAGCAAGTGCTGGGGCAATGGCTCCAGGCGTCCACTCCGGTCTTGTGCCTTCCGGGCTTCCGGTGCTCCAGAACAGTCCTGAAGAAATGCCGTGCTTTTCGATGGACGGGTAGCACAAGCCCTTCGATGCCATCCTTCATCACTTTGTATATCAAACACAATGGCTGATGCCTTTCGATCGGACCGACCCTCCAGGCTAGGCACAGCCCAAAATCGATTGCGGTCGATTGCAGTCCCAAGAACGACGCATCGACGCCAAGAATCTCGCTCGCACCATCTCTTTCTTTCAGGGGGTTGCACGTGACCTTATTTGCAACTCGATAATCGGCTGATCCAGTGCCAGTTACACTTGGCTGTTTCTTCCACTTGATTTCCGAGTCCCGCGAATGCTTCTGCGGCGGCACACGCGACGCGCCGAGCTCTCCAGCTGCGCGCGCACTCGCTGCTCTCTTTTGTGTGACGTTGTGTTGATTCGCATCTACGCTCTCCTTCATCCTCACGTGGCCGCTTCCATCAAATGCAGGTGACACCACGTTGAGGTGACACAAAGCATTACTAACAGCACGCCGCGCCTGCTAGGAAGAAGTCGCACTCCATGGCACCGCACTCTACACCTTCATCAGATCCAATGGGCTCCGTGCCCTTGGGCACTGGCACTTCGGCGGCTCCTGGGCCTGCCGCTGTGTTCCCCGCCGTTTCGGTCAAGGAGTTGACCGAGTTTATGCCCCAGATCGGCCTCAACCTGTCGCCGGATGAAATCGCCAACCCCAGTGCTACAACCGCGCACAAAGTGTTCATTGCCTTTTTGCAGGCGCTAAGCGGCATGGACGAGGAGACGGTTAGCAGGCAGAAGACCAGGGCTTTGGGTCAGATGGAGTACAAGGTGCGCCACAAACGCATGCTCTACTGTGAGCTCGAGCATGTGTACTAACCTACCTGCTTGTCTCGTTTTCAGGAAATGTTCGAGTCAAGCTACTCTCAGCTCGTGCTTTTCAGGGAAATGTGAGTTGGTCCATCCCTCCGACCCTCAAGCGAATCTGACGACGTTGTCCTCATCCGTCTACGTACGCAGCAAGGAGATGCTCTCCTGCGCAATGATTCACGACTTTGGCCTCTCAGACATGACGCGGCCTCAGAAGAACAGGTTCAAGCGACAGCTCTCGGCGCTGCATAATTTTATGCTGCACAGGCACGATCGCATCCAAGAGTTTGATGAGCTTGTCGGGAGGAGTGAGGATCTGGTCGCTGAGCGGGATCAGCTCAAGATGGAGCTTGCACAGAAGGAGCACGAGCTCGCCAAGATCAAGTGAGTCGCAAAGAGCACTGTACCTTTTATTAGCTGCACGCACTGACGTCTGTTTGTGGACGCTCGCTTCCTCTGCAGAGAGCAAGAGAAGATGGAAGTACCAGAAGTGGAGGCCGTGCTTGCACACAACATGTCACTACAGGAGACGCTTGAACGCCTGAAGATCGCACAAGAGAAGGGAATGCGTGAGCTTGAGCACTTACTGGAGACAAAGGACGCCTACGAGAAGGAACGCATTGCGATCGAAGAGCGGATCCACGAATTAATAACAGATGTGGAGAGGCTGAAGCAGAGGATCCGACAGAGCCCCGACGAGTTGATGAAGAAGGTCAAGAATGTTGAGGGGAAGCTGGGCAAGGCGAAGTTGGAGCTGGAGGAGAAGGAGAGGATCCTCAAGAGTCAGACCAAGAAGAGGCATGGTATGCTCATCATTGAGGAAGTGAGTGTGACGAGCAGAACGTAAATGTTGGGAAGATAGTATCTGACCGTGTTCTGTCTGTCATGTTTTCTTGACAGGAATTGAAAGCGCTCATGACTGCGATGACATCGGTGCAAGCCGAGCTCCAACGCACGCGCAAGGAGGCTTCATCGCTAGATGAGCTGTCGACGCTCATCACATCAAATGAGTCAGAGCTCTCTGAGCTGACGTTCCAGCACAAGCAGATGCAGCAAAAGATCTCGGTGGACACTGCGCGCGCGGAGCGTTTGCGGGCAGCGCTGGAGCAGAAGAGGGACATGTGGAAGCGCAGGAACGAGGAGCTTGGCGCAGTCGTCCAGGAGAAGCAGGCGCTCAAGAAGGGTCTTTTCAAGGAGGCTGGCGAGAAGGACAGGCTGTGCAAGGAGGTCGAGAGGGAGGTGAGTGAATGATGCGAACTGACCCTCGCACTAGTGATACTAAGCTGATGCCGGCTTCACCTTCCTCTACTCGTCTAACACTGCTGTATGTTGCAGATTGAAGAGATCCATCTCCAGCACCGCGCGCAGATCCTCAAGATGCAAGAAGAGAAGGAGAGCTTATCAAGGCTGGCAGACTCGTACATGACAGCTATCGGACAGAGCCTTGGGATTGCTGTCTAGAAACGAATCACACCCCTACCACTTCGCTCCAACCTGTGCGGCTCTTTCTCTCGACTGTTCTTTATTGTCATGATCCGTGTAATTGTATGTTACCTTGTGATATGATTCGCGTTCCCTCCCAATCAGTGCCGCCTAAGCAGCGCATTTGTCAGTGAGCCTTTGCAGTCTCGATGTGAGCACCCCTTACTTTGCGTTAAAAAGTTCTGGTCGCGGGGTTCGGTTCATGTCCAACTGTGTAGGTAGTCACCTGGCGCCTAGCAATAAGTGATCATGTGGAGAGGCAGTCTAGGCAGGCCAATGCACTCCTTGCGGCATTGCCATGCGCGATGTGGAAGCCACTGTACGCAGAGCTCGAAAGACCCTTCCGAAGCTCAGGTCGAGTTAATGCTCCTAGCTCCGAGCAACTGCGCCACGGTCGGGCGGGCCATGACACCATCACTCATGCCTCAGGATCCATGACCAGAAAATCTACACACTGTACGCTAGGGATGGAAGGGGCCTATCGCCGTGTGTAAGCCAAAGCGTCTGGCCACGATTCCGGCCAGACTGGCATCTGGCTCTTCTGAGCCGCAGTGTTGTTTCGTTGCTTCGGTTCGCGATTGATGACTAGTCCACGTTCGATGTCACGCGTGCGTCGTCAGTGGAGAGGCCATCTCGACCATTATCATTGGTCTGCCTGACTTTTTGCAGTCACATGCAGAAAAAACAGACTGTATACACCCTGTGCAGTCTGTTGCTGACACAAGACCGTTGACCGTTGACGTTGGACAGTTAGCTGGCTGGCTAGTGGCTGGGCTAGCCCTGTTGTTGTCGTGTTATGGGTTGTGACTGTATTGCCAACATCCTGCGACAGGTGTTCCCTTCACGGGCTGAGGCTGTTTGTGAATGGAATGAACAGGCGGTGAACGGAATCAGCGCGAGCGCAAATCCATTCACAGGACGCGCTGCCGGCGTTTGGCTCCAACCTTGCAAAGGGAGCCATGTCGTTCCTATTGTTGAATCGGCGGATACGCTGTGACCGGAGGACACGGCCGAAATGATTGAGACTAACGCACCCGCAAGCTGAAGCGCCGCGGGACGGCTGCTGCATGTAGGCCTCGCACCGAAGGCCAGAGCGGGCAGCAGGATGGGCGGAAAGGAGAGGTGTGATCGGGCCCATGGACAAAGAGGCAAAGAGAGCAAAGAAAGTGTGGGATCAAGTGAAGGGTTGTTGAGGGCGCAGGGCGCAGGCACCAGCAGGCGCGCACCAGAGAGAGAATCCAGGTGAGAGCGCCGCCAATCGAGCCTGATATGCCCCAGCAAGCACAGCTCGTCCATCGTTCATTTCCCTCATCCCCCAATATCACCTCCCTTCCGACACCGCCACCATCATCAATCCTCATCAAACACTTTCTGCTTAAACGCGAACACGTCAGCAAGCACTCCAGTCACACTTGACCCTCTAGTCTGAACAAATTGCACCATCCATCATGTCTGCCGCAGCACCAAAGAAGGCCGCTCCGAAGAAGGCCAGCGTCAAGAAGGCGAGCTCGACCGGCTCCAGCTACGAGGTACGTGTTGCGACGCGAACAGTTGTCGGAGCGTCCTCGGAGCAAGCTAGAACGATGGATGGGATACACGAGGACAGCTTGGAGGTATTTTGGTCACACTTTTGTATGGTGGCGACGCGACAGACGACGTCGTTGCTACCACGCTCTGTTGACAAGGACGCGCGTGCGCGCGCCTCGGCAGCAAGGGCGCCCCGCGGGACCGAACACAGACACGGACTCATACCTTACTTTGCCCATTTCAAATGTGCCTAATCACTCATTCTGACGCCTTGTATCCGTTTCATCCACATCTCGACAAAATTTCACCGTGTTCAACGCGTCTGAAATCGATCAATAGCAAATGATCAAGGAGGCCATCCTTGCCCACCCCGAGGAGGCGCGCTCTGGAATTGGCCGCCCTACTATCAAAAAGTACATTCACCAGAAACACCCTCAGACCGTTTCCATGCCCGCCGCCTCATTCAACAACCTCATCTCTAAGGCTATCACCAAGGGTGAAGAGAAGAAAATCTTCGTCCTACCCAAGGGTCCGTCTGGCAAGGTGAAGCTCGCACCCAAGGTCAAGGAGGTAGTCAAAAAGCCTGTGGTCAAAAAGCCAGTAGTTAAAAAGCCAGCTGTTAAGAAGGCCACACCAGCCAAGAAGGTAAATGTGCATCATCATTCACCGTCTTACTTGCCTTTAGACGCTGATTTTTTTCTACTTGCATCGACTTGCAGCCCGCTACCGCCAAGAAGGTCTCGTCCGCGACCAAGCCAAAGAAGACGACAACATCCAAGAAGCCGGCGGCAAAGGTGAGCAGCTAATTACAGGCTATCGTCCGCCATGGCCGTGCAACGTACTTCTCCGTGCTTGTTGCGAGTCATGGCTGACGATACCTGTCGCTTACGCATTCCCGTACCACGATCGCTAACACTCAGCGCACACCTCTTATGGCCACCCAGCAGACTGTCACCAAGAAGGCTGCTGCCAAGAAGTAAACGCGATTTCCGCCATTTCGCTTCTCCACATCAATCTCATCCACATCACTACTATCACACCTGCTTACGACAAGGACAGCCGATGGCAGTGCCCTTTCACAGCAAACACACCCTCCGCCGCACCGCAACATGTTTTGGATAGGGGTGTCACTGCAACATCAGCAGCAGCCACATCTGCCAGCTCGACTTGCTAGTTCGCTAGCTATGGCTTTATGGTCTTCTCTCTTTATGGTCTCTCGCACCTTGTTTCTTTACGTCTGGCGTGATGGTCGAGAACGCATCGCAGCGTGCGCACCGCCGCCGCCGCAGCACTTACAGGCGTTGTACTCTGTTCCCCGCAAATTTTCTTACGGTCCGTGCGCTTTTTCTTCCCTTGCCTTTTCATCATCCCGCCTTCACACGCCTCCGGCCACGCCTTCCTACCTTCCGCTCCTCATCGACAGCTTTTCTTCAGATGCGCAATTGTTTGAAGATGTCTCTCGTTGTATTATTGTTTTGTTACAATATGCTTTGATAAAATCTCGGAAAGTAGGCTTCTTTGACTGTATTGCTGCACTCTGGTGGCTTTGTTTTGCGGGTGATTTGCATGTGATATACATACACAGGATCGTCGATGCGCAGGATCTGGCACGCAGCAGCGTCGCCTACTTGGTGCGCTCACGGCCCCTCGCACCTATCGCTCATCGCACATTTCGATACATTCCGGTCAGAGCTGACGGTTTGAAAAAAGTACGGCGCACACATACGAGTCACACGCGCAATGTTGAGCGATACGACGAGATACACAACGTGAAGTGCGTGGTAGTATTGCCTAGACGCGTAACTTGTATCCAGCCAACAGCTGGGCTGGCTCTTGATCGATAGATTTCAAGAGGAGATTCAAGATGAGGAGGCTAGTCTTTGACTTCGGGCGACCCTGGGCATCTTGCGAGGTGCCAGGCCATTTGCAGGGTGCATTTGGCCCTTTCTACAAATGGAGAGAAGGGGGGGTGGCGTTAACAGCGTTGAAGTTGCCCTGAATTGCGAGCACTGAGCAGCATAGAATTCACAACAACATTGTGGTGTCAGCCGACCAAGCAGCGCTATTAGGGTTACGACAGTCTCATCTGCCCAATCGACGACTCAACGTCCTGGGCATGCTGTCTCCCGCGTCAGAACGACCAAAGCGATGACTTCGAGCATCATTCTAGGTCATCTTGCTGGAACACCGCGACAGCGATCGATCTTCCTATGCTCAGCCTGTAGCTTATCCCCGAGCCAGGTGTCTACACTCACCTGGAGTTGGAATTTTGGTGAAGAAAAGCAGCTGCACCAGGTTCTTGATAATATTTGAGGTGGAACCCCTCGGAAATGGAAGCCAGGTCGGGCTTCGTCCGAGATCAACCTCAGACTCGGATGCATTCATTCGACGCCGCCTCGCTGCAATGCATCCAAAGGGTGACGAAAATAACTTGAACCAGGCTGGCGCACGCATTGCCAGCGCAGGGTTCTCATTGCAGAACGCGCGTTGCCCAAAAAGCTTCGCGAGGTTTGTGATGCCTAATATACTATATGTTACAAGGATGCCGGGTGTGTGAATCTGCTTGCAATGCTCTTGCGATAAGCTCTACTGTATACCATAATCTCCTTCCTGACCATGCCTCTCGAGCCTTCTACTAGCATCCTTCGCTGGATCGCATTTTCTCGGCGCAGCCTGCACGAAGGTCTTGGCGCATGCCAGTCAATCATCCGTCAAAAGCTTTAGCCCAAAGGTATCGACCAGGATTTTCTTAGCCATGGCCTCTCGCGCCACCTTCAACGTCTTGAACCCTTCTTCGAGCTGGTGCGGCGTTCCGTCGACCGTGCATTTAACCACATGCCGCAAGTGCTCCGGCGCCATCCTGCAACAGACAAAATGGGATGTGAACTACTTTCAGGGCCCTTCTGCTGCTCCCTGTCAAGGCACTCACACGTCGCCGATGTAATAGCTGCTCGATCCCCATTCGACAGCGACCAGCGATTCTGCAGAGCCTTGGAGGTATTCGTACAACTGCGACACGTAGCTCTTCGTCGCGATGAGATGGAAATGCTTGGTCTTGCGTTTCTTGCTGGTTGATGGCACTGACGCCGCCAGCTGGCCCGCCGCTACTAACCCAGCCGTTGACGATGCTGATGTTGCCGCCGCTGCTGCTGTTGGCTGCGCTCTAAGTTCGCCCTCCTCCAAGTCTCCCAAAGATTGCGCGTTGGCTGGGGTGAGGGTGCTGATGCCCCTCGACGAGTCTACTAACGCGGCCTTTCGTTTCTTCGTCGAGCCTCCTGCAGCTCCGTTCGGAGATTGATCGACAGTCGCCGTTGAAGCGCCGTTTCTGCCACTACCTTCGCCGATGTCCTCGCCAGCACCACTGCTTGACCCATACTTTTCAATGTACTCTTCCAAGCGCGTAGCACCGAGCTTGACAAGTTGCTCGTCTACCTGCAGCATGGCTCGCCGCAGCTTCTCGAGCTTGTAGCTACACGCAGTGACCGGGACAGCTGCTCCACATCCGGATAGCTCAGCCCGTGATGATCGGAATTTGGGACGCCCCGTGTCGTTGGCTGCTAGCATGGAGATCATTCGCGGCTCGGCATCTTCCACATGGCCAGGCTCCTGCTGTTGCCGCTGTGCCGGTTTGGTGGTACACGCTGCTGCAACAACGGAAGCCGGCGTGCCCGCGTGTCCGTCGCCGTCAGCTTGACCATTCTGCTCCATGCCTCCATGCCCTTGATGAGCAGGCAAGGACAGCATGTGAAAATCTGAAGCTCCTTCGGAAGCCATATTCTCGTGGTTTACCTCAAAGCACCTCGATCGAGCCTTACCAATGGGAATGCGTGGCAGTCAGATCCCCTCAGTGGGCGAGTGCAAACCCAGCTGCTGCGATTACCATTGCCCCCTGGGTGCTGTTCAATCGCGCTTTATGAGGCTCTCGATGATTGGGGTATGGCAAAGGGGGCAAGGGCAAGAGCGGCAGCTAGTGCAGTAGATGTGGCGGAGGGCGCACGTGGACAGTGGGAGAGGGGTGCTTTCCTAAGCTTGTTTCCCTCTTGGGTCCTATTTGCCGTCGAATGCGCTGCGCACTTTGTGCGTGGCCTGTTGCAGTGGTTCTTTGGGATATTCGCAAAACCATCCACGCAGAGGGTCGAACCTTGGTCGAACGCGAGGAGATACGGGCCACCGACCCTAGCCCCTGCGCACACCATACACGCGCGACTCAAAGCTACGCTGAGGCACCTTGCTAGTGATGTACCGACCTTGCGACAGTCTGTCAAGTGGCGATGCAGTTGCTACGTAGATGAGCCCATCAGAGAATACAAAGGACTGCTCGCAGTTTGCTGGACTTCAATTGCAGCTGCGCAGGTCTGCGTGCTCAGTGGACACAGTACACACTACTCATTAACCCTATTTACCATCAATCCTGGACAGAAAGCTATCTGCTTCCTCGTTCGGTCGCCGTGCATCACAATCGGCATATCACATGCGCTCTTTCGCAGTCCGCATTATCTGAAATCAAAAGGCCTGTACCCTTTCATTCCAAGGCCTCCAATGGGCCTGGTCGAGAGCGAGATTCTTTTGCGTCGGTTGTGGTGACTGAAGCGCCCGAATGGGGTACACGCAGCGGAACATACATATCAATTGATGGATGGGTATTGGGCAGCTGGTCGATAAGCGATCACCGCGAAGACACATAGGTAGGGAACGGCAGAGGCACGGCGGCACTCTCACAGTTAGTCACTTCGGCTCGATCCGAGATCCGAAGTCCGCGCCCATGCCCAGAAGCGCCCACCCGCGAAGGGTGGCAGCACTGCAGCACAGTCGAGTAGCACGCACACACTTTGGCTCTCAACTGTGGCCTGCTGAGAGTCAGACGGTCGGCGCAGCAGGCAGCCCCCCGTTTCGCAGGCTCGCCTGCTGACTCTGTCTCGGTCTGACTGATCACTTCTTTCGACGCGGACTGGAGAAAGAGAGAGAAAAGGGAGGGAAACACACACCCAAGTCTGGTGCTCCAGGCCGACTCAACCTCCGTCAGCAAGGCCTTCTATCAACTCCAAGGGCCAAGTAGGACACGGACCAGGAATATCCGGTTCAGCACGAGCTCGAAATCAATAGACATCACCTCAAGACGTTGCACATACGGCAGGCCACAGCCGCGACTCTTTTGCGTCATTTTGGTCTCGTGGGGAGGGGGACGCTTCATGCGTGCTGCGTACAGCTCGCACCCTCAACTTTCTACGCCTTTGTACCATCTGTTCAGGTCAGGCCATCCTCCTTTCAGACCGGGTCAACCCACCCCCTTCAACCAAGCCCTGCAAACTCCCATCCTCACTCCTCCTTGAAAGCGACTTCGACGCCGATCTGCGACTGGTGACAACAGGTCACACAAACAAGCCAGAGAAAGGTCCGCCCAAAATCCGCCTGCAGGACAGGGCTATCGAGTTGCCCACGACCGAGTCACAGCCGACGATCACGTTGTCAATGTTGGTCAAACTTCAGCGATTCTGGATAAGTCTATAGCAGTCGTAGAAGTGGCAACAACAACAACAACAACAACAACAGCAGCAGCAGCAGCAGCGTTGTTATAAGAGCCCAAAAGGGAAGGATACAGCCTGGAGAACAAAAGGCTTGCCTCCTTCAGCGACAGCATTCACAGAGCAGCTTCCCCTGTTTGACTCAGTTGGCTCCTGAACGAGCCGTAAGAGAACATCACGCCTGTTTCGCGGCCGTTTCGGAGCGTCTCGTCGAGCCCACCTGCACCTTAACACTCGCACATCGATCCGCATTCAACGCACGGCAACAAAGTCCCTTTGACACACCTGGATGCACGCCTCTTCCCTGCGTCAGCAACGATGAACGGAAGTCCTGCGAACAATGACTTCGACTACCTGTCAGGCGTCCCCGGCAGCTCCAGCACAGGTGACCTCAGTGCCAACCATCCCCATGGCGTCCTGTCTAGTGTAGCGGGGATAGGAACAGGGGCTGCAGGCTTCAGCGGAGCGATGCCGGGTCCTTCTACTTCGAGAGCAGGTCCGGGGCCATCGACACGCGCCTCCATGTCCGCCGCTCCGGGATTTCCACCCGGCAGTGGCCCGCCTTCCTCCATGTTCGGTGACTTTGTGCCGCAGCGGTCCGCGCCTCCGCCACCCGGCTCACTCGGAGCGATGGGAGGTGGAGGAGGAGGGATAGGAATCAGTGGCGCACAGTCCACATTTGTCGGGAGATCAGCACCCTCGATCGCAGCGGGCAGCAGCTTCACGTCCAATTCACGAAATCAGAGGGCATCTTACGTCTCTGGCGTCGGTCCTGGTGCCTCTTCGGGAGGAGGAGTGGGCGGGGCAGGAGGCATGATGGGCGGGGTAGGAAACTTCCGGCCCGGCGGTCCAGCAGGACCCGCTGCTGTCGGCTTGCCAGCTGCAGAAGCTTACGGCAGCACATCCGCCGCGATGCGTGCCGGCCTACCAGCAGCGTATGGCTCGCCTGCCTCACTGGCTGGCGTAACAGCAGGGAGCGGGGGGAGCAATAGCAGCAGCACGTCGTCCCTGCCTCTACCCAATGGCGTCAGTGCAGCGGCATCCGCATCTGGTCACACCGGAGCACCCGGATCGGCAGCAAGGAGTCATTTGCCCACAGTACTCGGTCCCGGCGCCGGCCACTCACCGATGCCTCCGAAACCTGTGCGCTCGCATACGACCGGGCTAGAGAGCCTGCCGTCCTTGCGCACCGCAGCTACAGGTGGCCAGTTCAGCGGAGCAGGAGCCGCAGGCGCAGGAGGCGATGGTGGTATGCTGGCGCTCAGCATCGCCAGCTCACCCTTGGCGATGAGCAACCCTGACGTAAACTTTGGTGCCGGCTGCTTGAGCGGTCAGACGCAGGGGATGGACTTCAGCGATGGCTCCGGCTATGGTGGTGGTTTCGGCGGACCTCCAGGAGGCACTGGTGGACAAACGAATTTGAGCAGCTTCCGCGCAAGGGATCCAAATCGTAACACCTTCAAGAGCGTCTTCGGTGGCTTCGTCAACAGCATGAGTGGTGAGTACGACGCAGCGAAAACATTCTGTCTTTTGCCATTTGTGAAGGACTGCAAGGCTTACAGCTAGCGATTGTGTACCATACAACAGATGTCTTCTCACAGCAAAAGAAGATTGAGATCTCGACACCGTACGATCCGGTGCATTTGACGCACGTCGGCTTCAACTCGGACACGGGCGAGTTCACAGGTCTCCCGAAAGAATGGCAGCAGCTGTTACAAGATTCAGGTATCAGCAAGCAGGATCAGGCGGCGAATCCGCAGGCTGTGATGGACATTGTCGCATTTTACCAGCAAGGGATGCAGACGAACCAGGAGGATGCGGTCTTCACCAAGTTCGGCGGTGCGCAGGCTGCGCCACCCGTTGCTGGCCTGTCTCAACAACAACAGCAGCAGCTTGGCATGGGTGGTGTGAATTCACCGCCAGCGGTGTACGAAAAGCCCCGGGCCGCTCCTCTGCCTCCTGGTCCGTCCTTAAAGGCAGCCTGGCGGCCATCTGAGCCGGCGACAAGCTCCCCGTACGGTGATCTCAAGCCATCTCGCCCAGCTCCATCAGCGGCAACGCCGCCGATGGCGGCAGTGGACAGCCGTCCGTCGCCGCCGTCACGCTCCACCTCGCAAAAGCAGCCGTCCAAGGCCCCCATCGCGGCACGGCCGCCCCCAGAAGCTCCGTCTGTTGCTGCTGCCTCTGCGGCAGCGGCTGGCGCCACACCACCATCCGGAGCGACATCGAAGCCGTCACGGTCGCGGTCGCTTGGTGCAGGTGCAGCTGCACAGGCGAGCAGCAAGTCGCCGCCACTGGGCTCCTCGCACGCGCAGAAGGCCGGCCAGCAGCCGACAAAACAGCTCAGCACAAAGGAAAAGACGGGCGGGGCGCAGCCTAGGAGAAGGGACACGAAGAAGAACCAGGTCAATGATGCGGATGTCATTGCGAAGCTGCAAGCCATCTGCACCGATGCGGATCCCACACAACTTTACAGGAGTCTTGTCAAGGTCGGCCAGGGGTGAGTATCCGGGGTGTTGGTAGAGTGGATTCAGTGTGTGATCTAACATCTCTGCTTCTCGTCACGTCAGCGCATCCGGTGGTGTGTACACTGCTTATCAGGTCGGCACAAACCATTCGGTCGCGATCAAGCAGATGAACTTGGAGCAGCAGCCCAAGAAGGACCTGATTATCAACGAGATCCTCGTCATGAAGGAATCGCAGCACCGCAACATTGTCAACTTCATCGACTCGTTCCTCTACAAGGGTGACCTCTGGGTTGTCATGGAGTACATGGAAGGCGGCAGCTTGACAGACGTAGTCACGTGCAACATCATGACCGAAGGCCAGATCGCAGCCGTCAGCCGCGAGGTACTGGAAGGGTTGAAGCATTTGCACGAGCATCGCGTCATCCATCGAGACATCAAGAGCGATAATATCCTCCTGAGCTTGCAAGGTGATATCAAATTGAGTGAGTAGCGCCGGGCCCTGAGCGTGAGATAAACCCCATGCGAGCGCGTCGCTGATCATCACGCAATCCTTTAATATGTTTGCGTGCAGCCGACTTTGGCTTCTGTGCACAGATCGGCGAGTCACAAGCAAAGCGCACGACTATGGTCGGTACACCATATTGGATGGCGCCAGAGGTGGTCACTCGAAAAGAGTATGGGCCCAAGGTGGATATCTGGAGTCTGGGAATTATGTGCATTGGTGAGCTGGTCCCCGTTTGGCGATTCGGATTGCCAATTCACCTCGGATACGCCCAGCTGACGTGTCCCCATCTGACTTTGTCATCATGCTGCGCACGCGTCAGAAATGGTCGAGGGCGAGCCGCCGTACCTGAATGAGAATCCGTTGCGAGCGCTCTACCTGATCGCGACCAACGGCACGCCAAAGATCAATAATCCCGAGCAGCTATCGACCAGCTTCCGAGACTTCCTTAAGACATGCTTGGATGTGGATGCAGAGCGGAGGCCCGACGCGGCAGGGGCGCTAGGCGTGAGTGGTCGCCCTCGTCTCCATTCACATGGAATGGCTGTATTACGTGTGAGAGATTCGCGAATGCTGACGCATCCTCCCGCCTTGTTCTCGACACTGCAGCATCCGTTCCTCAAGCGTTCCGAGAGCCTGCGGACCTTGGCGCCTCTGATCAAAGCTGCTCGTGAACAGTACAAGAAGTGATATGACGGAGACGTGGTCCACCAACCGACCTTCTATGGGCTTTCCCCCGAGCGAGACGGACCGGGTAAAGTGACCCCTTTCCTCGTTGCTGCTGCGACGTTATAGCCCTTGGGTTCGTGTGACCAACGCTTGGGATCTGGGACTGGATACATATCACAAAATTGTGTAGGCCACCAGCTCTTTTAATGACATTTGATGACGATGACGACCAAACGCCTACATTCATCGAGGTATTCGGTAAGCGCGACAAGTTGGTCGGACAGGGGATGGAGAGGGACAAGGATCTTGAACGCGTGAGGGATAACCCCATCAACACACGTAGAAGCCCAGCGGCTTGGTTCAGCTATCGGATCCCACTCAGAGGTAAGGAGCTGGATGCGTTGCGGTAGCGACTCTTGGGGCGCTCGCAAAAATGTCCACCATGAAGCACAGCGCAGTGAGATGAGTCATGAAAACGGGGGCTGGACAGGGACGCACAAGCGTCAGAGAGGTGGTACGCGTGCAGAGCGCCTCCTCTCCATCGACCAGCACACTTGGCCCCGGTACGCGTGGAAAAGCTTGTTAGAGGATGAGAAGATGAGTTACAGTCGAGTCATACACAACGTAGAGTATCAATGCTGTACAGAAGAGAAAAACTGGCAGAAGGGAACACGCCACAATAAATGCTTGCCCGCTTGCGATGAATGAAGCCAGTCGTGGGAGAAGAGGCTGACCAACCACGCTGGCGCAGTGTGATTGTGTGCTGCTTACGTTCGCAGCTCAGCCGCCGAACCCGTAAAGAGTGCGTCCCTGTCGCTTGAGGGCATAGACGACATCGAGCGATGTGACTGTCTTGCGCTTGGCGTGCTCGGTGTAAGTGACTGAGTCACGGATGACGGACTCGAGGAAGAGCTTGAGGACACCGCGGGT